CCTTACTTTTTGTCCTCGCACTGTGGAGCCTCCTGGACATCCTCATGGGCAGACACTACACATGCCATCCACAGTGCACATCACACGACCTGCGTTTGCTGCCAGGAAGCCCCTTCATCAACAGTGACAGTATAAAAGATAGCCATGTCCTCTTGTGAATCTTCAAGAGTAGACATGTTTGGCCAGAAGTGTACCATTCTGATTTATGGTGTCTGAGAGCAGCACTTTTCCAGTTCAGCCCCATTTGTTTTCTCCAGAGCAAGCTAACACATTGTAGCTATGCATCATTTGGCTCATACACACAGAAAAGTGCTTATTTTACTTGTTCTTTATTTCAAGCCAGACTCAAAGGCCACCTAGGTTTCTGGCTGCTGAAGCGACTGAAGTTGTCAACTCTTGTCGAGACAAGAGTGAATCACTTCAGCTGATGTGTTGCCTGGGATAACTGCCTGCCCTCAATTCCAGCTTTTGCAGGATGGGACTTTTGCAGGTGGACTTTGGTACTTTTGGACCATCCAGCTTTGAACTCACCTTCTGAACAGCCACTCAGGTACCCCTTCTGCCCTAGGCAGGGGACAGCCACATGACCTACACTGCACTGACTGCAGCCCCTCCCTGGAATGTGAATCGTGAGCAGAGTACCATGGAGACTAAACATGGTGAGAGATCATCCAGGCAGTGGTGACACCCTTCTTAAACCATGCCTGCAGTGGCTCCTTGTCCACACTTCCGCTTCCAGCCCTGTGGCCTACTTCCAGGGCTGGCTGTCTGGTCTTTCTTTCTATCCACTTGCACACTCCTACTTTCCTTATTCTCACCCCCTTTGTCTGTTTCTGCTGCTTGTTACCAGCAAACACTGACACAACCATTTTAACATGGCTCTGAGATTTGGGGAGAGTCAGAAGAGAATCTCTACGTTACCGTGGTGCTGAAATTTCCTTCTTACTCATTCTTTTAGATCAAGGCATTAGAAGCTATTATAAAACATTACTTAGGAAAGGCTACACTTGATGCTCTTATTTCCCATGCCTGAATCACCTTAGAAGAATGATTTCCCTTCGCTTGCCGGAGACTAGCCAAGTGAGACCTAGAACATGTCAGCGTTGACAGGGGTGAATTGGGAGGGAAGGAAATGTCTGCAAGACTGGATTCTTCAAGGTCTCAGAGTGACTGAATTGGAAGGTGTTGGTACCCAGAGAGAAGCATGAGTTCACGACACCAGAAAGGGGGAGAGATGGAGAAAAGAGGGAACCAAGAGGCCGAATTTGCTCTTTGGCGGCAGCCACGCAATGTGTATAGGCTGCCACAAGGGGGCGATGCTGGCACTCAGGTTAAAGCAATGGACGTGCGAAGTGGCCAATGTCTCCTGCTAGGCGTGACTGTAGCTTGGACTCATCAAGGCAGAAGAGTGGGGTATAGAAACTTTTAACATTGTCCAGAGAGAGCAATGGCTGTGATTCAGATGAGAGCTCCAGGCCCCTGGGCAGTAGGACTATTTCGTCAGGCCTTCACCCCAAAGAGTTGACCACTTTTCAATGTTTCAGGGACACTCAGCTCTAGCAGCCTGCTGATGTCCAGGGCCTGTGGGTAGCCCGCATGACAGGCCAAGGGACATCCCCAGTGTTAGAGACTTCGGGGTCTGGATTACACAAGACAAGTGTCAGAGTAACTTCAGTCACAACCTGCTTGGCATTGATGGCATTTGCTGTAGGTGTCCCAAGTCATCCGGCAAAATGTCAGACAGATGAGATTTATCTTAAAGGAGGATGTAAAGTACTCTGGTTTCTCTTCAGATCATACACACCGTTTGCCTTTTAAAAGGGGGTAATTCTTCCATTTTCTGAAATAAATTCTTACTCATGTGTAACACATATATTGAAAAGTCAGTGCACAGACCTTAAGTGTACAGCTCAATAATTTTCACAAAGTGAACATATTCATTTAATAAACATAAAAAAAACAGAATTATAAGCTTTCTAGAAGCTTCCCGCTGGTATTCCCTCTCAGCACCCCCCTGCAGAGTAAACACAATTCCAACTTCTCCACCAGAGATAATTTTGCCTAACTGGAAACATATATGTAGTTAGTGCTCTCTGGCTTCTTTTAATTAATGAAATATTTTAATAGTTTATCTGTGTTGCTATGAGTAGCATTAGGTTGTTCATTCACATTTTTTTTTTTTTTTTTGGTACCGGGGATCGAACTTGGGACCTTGCATTTGTGAGGCAGGCGCCGGAACCACTGAGTTAAATCCCTGGCCCATTCACATTTCTTTATAGCATTTCATTGAATGAATATTTACTTTGGCTCTTTTTTAGATGTTGACCCAGTCTAAACTTTGGAGGGCCTCAAACTTGTCAAAGGAGTTTTTAAAAATCTCACATAAAACCAGTGTACTGAGATAAATTCACCAACATTCAATAAAAGCCAGTTTTTACAAAAATAGAGACATGTGTCTAGCCACTATCCTGATCCTCTTTTCTTTCTTGGGGAGAAACAATGTGTTTTAGACTGCCAGTCTGATGGCACTCTACCTTCCCTAAAAATTGCGTTTATCAAAATTATGTTAAGTAATCATTATCCAATTCACCCTGACAGGCTTCCAAAGCATTTACATGTTCTAATAGACAAGACTATTTGACTCAAAAACAAATAACCACTTTTGGAGCAGACTGTCCTATCAAAACATGCTCCAAAAACATGATAGTTTTCCCACAAAATGGAGAATTTTATTCAGTGTCATCACCTAACTACTACTGTGTGGTCTGATTGGAGCAGGAGTTAAATATCTGTCTTGGAAAAGTAAGTTCTAGAAAGTCCAAGTTCCTTTCACTCAGAGAAGGTGAGTTGGGCTGCTGTCAAGGGTGAGAATGTTATGTGCGATGCCATGGCCTGGTAAGGAACCAACATTCCCATCCCTTCTGCCATCTGCAAGCCAAGAGGCTGCCGTTGGGCAGTGAATCTCAGCGTGCCTTGGAGTTTTGCCCATCTTCTGCACAAAGGCAGTGGGAGCTTTGGTTCCATACCATCTTTGCAAAGATATTCGTATAGTGAACAGCCGTGGAAAATAGAGATAGTGTCTTCCTTCCAGAGTGCAGACTGGGTTCTTGACCAAGTATTTTCTCCTGCCAGTGCAAAGTTTGAGCAGGTTTTCTATCAGCCCTTTTATAACATTGGGGATTTCCTAAGCTTGGGGTTCTTGGCCATGGCACGACCCCACTGTGTACAGTGTCCACATTCCCCTCCTTGTGAGACTTGGCTCAATGTCCTAATTATTTTAGGTGATAGCAGGCAAATCTGGAGAATCTTCTATTGGGGAACTGTCTTGACATGTTTCTTTATTTGTCCTATTTTATTTTATCTTTAAATGTTTATTAATACATGTTTGCAGTCTATAATGATTATATTCCTCGTGGGGATTGGTGCATGTACATAACTCGTCTTAAATTTTTTGTCCCCTTCTTCTCCCCTCCCTCCATTTCTTGGTCCCCTTCTCTTTTGCAAAAGATCTATCTTCCTGTTTCCTATTGTTCGTCTTTTATAATGCTCTTTAATTTTTTTTATACGTTGGGTTTCTCCTCTAAGAGAAACCAAGTGATAGTTAAGCTTGTGTGCCTGATTTATTTCACCTGACATTATGGTTGGACCTACTTCTGATGCAGAATCTTAGTATAAAGATGCTTCTCCACTTATTATGGGATTATGTCCTAATAAGCCCATCATATGGAAAAACTATTCTAAGTCAAAAATGCATTGAATACATCTCATCTACTGAACATCATAGGTTAGCCTTGCCTACCTAAAACATGCAGAGAACACCTACATCAGGCAACAATTGGGGAAAGTCTCCTAATACAAATTCCTTTTTATAATAAAGTGTTGAATATCTCATGTAGAGACACACATGGGAGTTTCGTAGACATGATAGGATGTGGAAACACGACATCCCAAACCTGCTAGCAACACAGTCCACTGTAGCATATGGGCTGTTTCTTCTCGGGATCCTTGGCCCGACTGGGAGCTGTGACTCACTGCTGCTGCCCTTCTTCCTAGTAGAGGATCATACCACATAATGAGAGCATGAGAAAAATCCAAATTCAAAATTCAAAGTATGGTTTTTATGTAGTCCATATTATTTTTGCTTTATCATAAAACTAAAAAATCCTAAATTGAACCATCATATGTTGGGGGCTGTATGATGTTATCTTCAAGGAATACCCTCAGGCTTCATTACCACACAAAGCTAATCTTAAATTTGGATGAAAAGAGAGATAGAAAAGAAAGCATCAATCTTTTTTTGGAGTCCTATTACCTGTTAATTTCTTTTTTTAAAAAAACTGTATATCTTTTTATTGGTACATTTTAGGTATACAATATAATGACATTCATCATTGGAAATTTGCACCTTCACATAATCTCTCTTGGTTCTTATTTTTTTCCCCCTTGCCCAGCCCTCCCTTCAACCGCTCCATTCCTCCCTATTTACAAAGATTTTGTTCCTATTTTTCCATTTTCTCATATTAATCCCATTCCCTTCTATCCTTTCCCCTACCCCTCCCTTTTCCTTCCCCTGTGCCCCTTTTCTTCCTATTTCACATTATCTATAATACCTCTTAGTCCTTATTTCCACTTTCAGTTTCTCCCACTAGAGAAACTATTCGGTATTTACACATGTGTGTCCTGTTTATTTCACTTAAGAGTATCGCCTCAATGTCCATCCTATTGCCTGTTAATTTCGTTTTTGATAGTTGTCTGAGGCCTTGAGTTCAACTATATCTGATAATTTGCATTGCAGTTATGCAGCCTAACGAAGCAATCATCTTTCCCACAATAGCAAGTAATTGTAAGAATATAAAGTATTTCCATAGAGAAAAGAATGAAAACTGCATTTTCAGGAAAGCAAATAATCATACACATATGTAAACACAGGATCAACGACGTATTTTCTTAGGAAAATTTAAACCATAACACAAAGCGATTATTTAGATATTGTTACAAAGAATTTAAATATACATGCTTGGCTATGAAAGGCCAGGCTGAGCCACATAGGCAAAGCTTATCTTTAATATCATTGTTTCCAAGAAGCATCATAAAAGTCAAACAGTCAAACATTTCTCTGGGAATTTTGTTGTTATTCTAGAAATGTTGCACGGAGAAGCTCAACAACCTATGTAGAAAAATCAGATCTACTGGGCGGAGGGGAAGAGATGGACTGTCTCTGCCACATTTTCTAATATATTGGGGAAAAGTTCAGAAATGATGAAGACACAGTGGCACTGTATTTAAAGCATATATTGGCACATCTGATACAAGAAAGACATTTTACAATGTTTCTATTGGTATATTACAATTTTCAGGTTGTATTTCTAAAATGGGGAATCTTATGATGTAGCACTAAGAAATAGAGAACTGACACCAAAAGCTAAATATTATGATCTAAAAGACAATAGTAACATTCAACCTTCCACAGGTAAAAGACCATCGGGACATAACCCTGAAACGAGCAAGACGCTGTCCACTGCAATTTCTCCAGTTTTGCCTTTGCCACGTTCTGCTTCAAAAATGATCTAACAATGGAGAAGGAATAAAAATTTACTTCAAAATATGCAAAACAACGATCTAACCAAATGATTCAACAGTTATTAATAAGGACTGAACTCATGCATTATTATGGTTTAATCTAGATGCCCCACCCCAAGCCTCATGTGCTCATAGGCGGGGGGAGATGATTGGATCATGGGGGTGTCACACTCATCAGTGGATGATGAGTTTATAACTAAATGTGATGTTAGGAGGTGAAGCCTGGTAGAGGAAGTGGTCACTGGGGTGTGGCCTGGAAGAGTCTATCTCCCTCCTGCCTTTCTTGATCTCTCTGCTTCCTGCTGGCCACACCATGAGCTGTTTCTCCTCTGCGATGCCCCTCTGCCATGCCGCCCTGCCTTGGAGCCAGCCGACTGTGGACTGGAACCTCTACAAACTGTGAGCCAGAATAAACCTCCATTCCTTACACTTGTGAATGTTGGCTATTGTGTCTCAGTAATGAGAGAGTAACTAAGACGTGCATCATTATCGCACAGAAACTGGCTTTGACACTGACTACATAGTAATATTTTGACTGTATAGGAATAGGTTTTCCAGACACCGGGTATCCACACTGAGAGTTCTGTTCAGAGTAAACACAGTTATAGCAAAATCTAAAGATTCTGAAAAGCCCTATAAAGCTAAGAAGGGTAAGACTTAGAAGGAAACTTTGGAAATCCCATTTAAAGAAAATAAATGAAGCCAAAAAAAATAGTTTTATAAAAACCAGGTTAAAAAGAAATTGAGTATTTCCATGAACATCTAATGCAAAACTATATAGTCAAAAGAGAACTATTTTTGACACATTCAGATTTTGGTAGTTTATAGTATATAGTTGTTTTTCTTAAATTTTTTGCTTATGTATTTGGAAATTGTCTAGAATGTCATTTTTCATGTGTTGAAAAATGTTTCACAATTTGATGCTATAACCATTTTATTTTGAGAAATCTATTAATATTCAAAAGAGAAAGCAACTTTTTGTATTTTAGAAATTTCTGATATCTTTAGAAGAGCGGATGAACCCTAAAGAGAATTATCTTTGGATACAAAATGACAGAGAACTCATTTAACAAAATTAAAGGTGCACAGTGACTTTTATATTTACCTACTTGTCTGAAAATATTTTCAAATAACTCTGATAAAATAAACATTTGCTGAATGAATGTTTATATCTTTCTTCAATATTATAATGCTTTTAAAATAGTTTGTGTTAATTTTATAACAAAAAACACCAAAATACTTTCAAAATTAATAGTGATGAAAATAATAGTTATAATATATGGAGAACCTATTCAATATGATTCAGTATGAGGAGAAGTTTGCCTCCTATACTTCTTGTATGTCTCCCAAAAAGAGGGGAATGATGGGCCTAGTGGGCTCTTATAATTCTCAGTATCAGAAATAAGCAGACTTAGAAGACAGAAGGAAGATTCGGATTCAAAGATGATTAAGATTTCCTTGAAACAAAAGCATTAGAGAGAAAAGAATATTTAATTCGGAACATGTTCTTTAAAATGACACACACACATAAGGTCTGTCAAAATGGAATTTGACAATAGCTCGTGCCAATTATGGTTATAAATAGATTAAATATGTATTCACATGAAAAGCAAAACACAAAATATGAAAGCACTCATTACTGTGGTTTGATTATGAATCTACTTTTTTTCAATAAAGAAACTTCCCTTTTCTAGTCTAAATTTTTTATAAATTTAAACTTTCAGAAAATTGGTACATAGCTGTAATCCTAGCATTCTGGGAGGCTGAGGTGGGAGGAAATTTGAGCCCAGCCTGGGCAGTTTAGCAACTTAGTGAGAACCTGTCTCAAAAAATGGGAGGGGAGACCAAGGATGTAGCTCAGTGCAATGGCCCAGGGTTCAATCCCCCATACCACAAAAACTAGCAAACAGAAAAAAACACAGAAGTAAACAAAAATGGCATTTTAAATAAAGATCCTTTAAGAATCATGCTCATAGCTGGAAATGGTAGCACACACCTGTAATCCCAGTACTCTGGGAGGCTGAGGCAGGAGGATCACAAGTTTTAGCACAGCCTGGGCAATTTAGTGACTTAGCAAGACTCTGTCTCAAAATAAAATATAAAAAGGGCTGGGGATTTAGCTTATTGTGAAGGCATTGGGTTCAATCTCCAGTAGCAGGGGGAGGGGAGAGAAGGAGGTGGGAGAAAGAGAGAGAGAGGAAGAAGGAGGAGGAGAGGAGAGGAGAGAAAAGAAGATGAATCATGCTCAGTCACCATCATTGATTGCCTTCCTTCTTGCTCTGTAAAGAATTGCAGAGTAGTTTTCAGCGTGACAGAGGTGAAGCAACTTTAGGCTTGCTATCATCACTGTATCCAACTTTCCCAGGCTTTCTGAAGTGATGACAGGAAATTTTGGGGGTGGGGAATGGGAGTGACAAGAGCCTGTGACTATTATTGGTCAGGCCTCTCTTTTGCTTTCAAGATGGATACATTTTCTTGAGAACTGTTGGAAACAAGCTAATACTAAGAAGAGATATCATCACTGGGTATAGAAGTCTTTTCTTTCTCTGTTCTCTTCTCAGGAGGGAACTCTTTTCAGGAAGAGATTCTCTTTGGATAATTTTAATAAAGTAGAAGTGAGCCAAAGAGCAGATCCCTCACAGAAGCTGCAGTGAACAGACTAATGAGGGTGGGTGTGTCTACATCTTGGGATATGGTGTCTTTTCCATCACTGATATGGAAAATTAAAAATAAACTTTAGGATAATTATTTGTCATATTAATTTGTGTGTTTTCACTACATTTTCCTTACCTTGCTCCCCCAGAAAACATAGGCAGGCTTTTAATGTTCTCTTCTGTCAAGGAGATTTTGGACAATCAAAGCAGACTTTTCTGGAAGACAATGGCTTTCTTGATGTTTGCTCCCAGCAAATTTAACTTCCTTGAGGAGACTGTACTAAGTAGAAGTGAGGGGGAGAAGCTTACTTCTGCACAACTGGGAAGAACCACCACTACCTCTCTCTGGCAGAGCCCTGAGTGGGAGATGGTTGCCTGATGTGCCTATTGAGGCTGAATTCTCAGCAACAAGATTATGTCCCAACGTGGCATGGAAGCTGAAGAAATAAATGGCTTCACATGGAAGCAAAAGCTGTGGGTATCCATAGCCCCATGATGAAATGAAGATGCGCTGCCTCCTTCTGAATGTCTGTACCATCCCAGTCTTTCAGAAGCAGGGGAAACCTTAGAGAGGCCCACCACCAACCCTGTGTGAGCAAATCGCTGAGACTGAATCTTCCCCAGGCGGGGGATAGGGCTTTGGGATAGGACTTTGGATTCAGATAGAATTGCCTTTACAGGAAGCATGCAACTTATCTCTTACACTCAAGGTTATGCCGGGAAAGTCACCAACCACATGCCATAAATATCTACAGCCAGTACAGCAATGGTAAACTGGAATATATTCTTCAGTCTGGATTATTCAGCCTTCTCGCCCTCCAATATCCCCCATCAAGATTTCTCACAGAATTGGAAAATTCAGGACATAGGTGCCTGGGTCTCAGCATCCCTCTTAACCTAGCACTGTTGTGTTATAATGTGATGGCTGGCCGTGCTCTTTGGGGGCATGCTTTCAAAATGTGAATTTAAAATGACACCGTTTTGATAATATACCTTCTCCCAAGCTACTAGCACATGAATTTGCAACATGGAAGTAATCATGAATGTTGTGCAAAGGCATAGTTAAACTCTCCAAGGGTGCTACAGTCCCCAAAGCATGCTGCAAGCACAACAACGTAAACATGTGGATTGGATTTATACTGATTCAAATGTACCGCAATGAGAATACATTTGAATTGCTGTGTGTGTCAGTCCCGAAAAATCACTGACTTCTTTTACTGCAGAGGGAAAGAGTGGTTAGGAAATTCATTAACAAGAACCCAACATGCACTTTTATTTATAGTCATGTCTTTTTTTTTTTTTTTTTTTTGGTACCGGGGATTGAACTCGGGTCCTTGCGCTTGCCCAGCAGGCAGCGAAACCACTGAGCTAAATCCCCGGCCCTATGGTCATGTCTTATGAGGCATTTAAAATAAGATGTTCTGCTTTAATTACAGTGTGATGAGTAAATGAAAAGATGTTAAATTTAATGTCTGACACTAGGGACTAACTACAATTTCTGGTCTGATGCCTATTGCCAAGAAATGGGACTGTACTTACATTAATCATTGTCTTACACAAGTAAAGTATAAATGGATTCCGATTCATGGATCTCCCAGTTGGTCTCTCTCTGATGGCCTGCCTCTTCATGTATTTCCTTCTATCTTTTGCCTTTTTCTTTCTCACCTTGACCAAACTTTCCATCAGGGTCCACTCTGGCCATCTCCAGGCTCTGGTCCCTGTGGCCTTTGACCCTTCCTTCTAAAGAAACAACTCCAAAGGTCACCAGCTACCTCTTGGTAGTCAAACTCGATAAACTCTTTCTTTTTATTCGGTTTTTTGTTTCTGTGTTTCATACCATTGATCAACTAACTTCCTATTAAGACTTTGTGTTTCCTTTTCCTTTATTAAGCCTACTTCTTCAGTGAAGGATTAATTAAGCAGATCTGAGTCGTCCAAACCCTGTACATTCTAAAGAAAGTTTGGCCCGTGCTTGGCTCCTGCAAGATAACTTCTAAACCTTAGAATATCGTACCTGACATTGTTTACCTGAGATCTTGGGCCAAGCCAGATAGTTCATGCTAACAGTGTGATTTATGGTAGGAGACTTGGATTACATGATATCAACCTGACCTCTGGGGAGGGTGGAGACGGAATAACTAAAGTCAGCCACATCAGCAGACACGTGGGCAGGCTGACTCATTAACAAAACTTTGAACACCAAGGCTTGGGTGAGCTTCCTTGGAGGGAATACTGGCTGAGTGTTGTCACACATGGCTACTGGGAGAATTAAGAACTGCCGTATGACTCTACTGGGGAGGAAAATTATCAGCTTGTGCCTTGTCCCTCTTGGATTCTGCACTGTGTGCTTTTATGTGTTGCTTATTTTAATCTCTATAAACTGGTATCATGAATACAACAGCTTTTAGCATTCTATGCAAACTTCTAGGGATTCACTGAATGTGAAGGTGGTCTCAGAGACACCCAACAACAGCTACTTTCTCAGTTCAGTGGAAAACAACATTTAAAAAAATCATCCTCTGGCTGCCATTTGTCATGCCACATTTGGTGCATAGAACAAATGAGGAAGACATTTTTTTTTTTTGCCTCTTAAGGAATGTCCCAACTGGTTTTGGAGGAAGCTGGTAAGAGGAGCCAGACACAAAAAACAGGTCCTTTCCATGGAACGTGATATGCGTGCACCTGACAAGTATTGGCATTAGTTGTATTGATTAATCTCCTTGACTATTTTACTCCAGAATGGAAGCTCTTTAAGTGTAGGGGAAAAGTCTCATTCATCCTTGTATCGCCAGTGCCTAGGGTACTTCAGTGTTTTGTTTTTTATTTTATTTTATTTTTTATTTTTTTATTTTTATTTTTTATTTTTGGTACCGGGGATCGAACTCCGGTCCTTGCGCTTGCGAGGCAGGTGACGGAACCACTGAACTAGATCCCTGGCCCTGTTTTGTTTTTTTCAATCACTGAAAAAGATGTAAATATCTAGTTTAACCATTTTTTTCCACTTACACTTTTGGCAGTATCAATCCCTTGATACAACTGAATTTCCCCCGTCTTCCATCTTTCATCCTCACTCTTGGTCTCTTCCCATGCCAGCACATTGTTACTGTTTTTCACAAGCACTCGAAGTTTCCCTACTTTGTCTCCCACCAGCCGGTAATCAAACAGCAAGCAGAAGTTGCTTTGGGGCTGCAGGTTTGGGAGGAGAAGTTTCAATCGGCCAGTGTTCTTCCTGTGGCCTGCCAAGGCCGGAACTGCCATATAATACCCAACAGCTTTAAGAGAAGAAAGATGCAGTTAATAAGGCCACTCTAAAGTGTTTGGCTTTTATATGTGAAATAGCCTTAAAAATGAACAACAGTGTCCCATACAGAAAGCTGAAGTCCTTTACATTTTGAACACAGGAAAAAAAATCTTCATGCTACAATGGATTTTAGGGATTACACTGTTGAAACCTTTTGCCATATGAAGAAGCAAATTGAGGGTCAGAGAAATGGAGGAATTTGTCCACATTCACAAAGCTTGGTAGTAGCAGATATGGGATAAGAATCTAATTAAGTGGGCCATTAGCACTGCAGGTAATTTGCAGGTAATAGGAAACGTGTGTTCCAGAACTTTATTTCCAACTTGATTGTTGGAATCTTGGAATGCAGTTCCCAATGAGCCAATGATATGTCCAATGGCCATAGAGTAGTGTTTAATCTACAACACACCTGGCTTTGTCCTAATGGTTTCATGGAGCTCAACCACTATTTGTAACATATCACTCTGAGTTCTGATTTAGGATGCCAGGAGTATATCTTTTCCTATGCCCCCAAATCTTCTAAGAATCTTTTAACCTACGGCAGTAGCTTTTTGTTCATCTTCAATCTTCTGATTGTGGTTTTGATGAACTTGAGCAAAAACTGTTGCAGAGTGGGGTCTGAGGAAGTTGAGAAGAAGACGGAATTCCTATAAAAGCTAGGAGGATGACATTGGGGGTGGGGTGGAATCTTTTAGTGCAATTCTTGGAGACACTTGCAGAACCCAGGTTGACATTGCCTTAGTTTTCACTGGATTCCAACACTGCCAGGTCTTCTTTTTCAGCTAGTAGAGTTATTAGATACAGCAGATAAAAATGCAGGATGCCCAGTGGGGTTTAAATTTCAGATAAACAATAGATCCAAGACATACTAAAAAGTAGTCAATGCCTACCTGAAAATTTAGACTTTCTATACAGTAACTGTGTCACCCACACTCTTCTCTTCTAGCTACATCTCACTTTGATCTATCTTTGAGGGTTTATCCCTTTAATAATACTGATTGATTAGCTCAGTGGTTCCAGCGCCTGTCTCACAAGCACAGGGTCCTGAGTTCGATCCCCGGTACCAAAAAAAAAACAAAAAACAATTAATCTCATGTTTCTTTTCTATTAATCCTGTAGGGAAAGATAAACCTACCTAGAGATGTGGTGGAGGTGCAGGAAGGGAGAATATATGATTTGAGTGGCAGAGAAGCTGAGAACCCCAGGATTATTTGTGAATTGGGTGTTGTAAATAGGAGACTTGCCACTGATGGGACATTCAATGCAACACATTGCTGACTGTGTGAACTGTCAAGACCCTGAGATAACATGTGGACTCCTAGTGTGATACAGCTCTTTTAAAAATAAATTTAGAGAAGCCATCATGGAGGAAGAAGGAACTGAGCTTAGTTATCAACAAGATAGTTTCTCCAAAGATGTATTGTTTGTTTTTTGTGTTGTTTTTGGTACCAGGGATTGAACTCGGGACCTTGTGCTCTCAAGGCAGGGGACAGAACTACTGAGCTAAATCCCTGGCCTTTTTTTTTTTTTTTTTTGGTACTGGGGATTGAACTCGGGATCTTGCGTTTGCAAGGCAGGCACCAGAAACACTGAGCTAAATCCCAGGCCCCAAAGATGTATTATTGCTGGTTTGGTTAAATGTGCCCTGTGTTCATCCTGAATCTTTAGTTATAGTCCCATTTACATAACTGCCAGTGGGTGATGTATCCCTTCTGCCCTAATCCCACAATTTAAAAGGATTTCTTTTTAGAGATACCCAAGTTTTCTGATTGTATATGAAAACTTGAAAGGAATGATCTCAGAGAAGAATCAGTCCCAAGGAAGAATCTTTTAACTGAAGGCTGAGCCTGTATATCCCCAAAGAAAAAAGTTGATTGGTAAGGAACTGAAGTCCTCGAGGTGTAACACTTGACCTTAGTTATATAGTCAGCCTTCAGGATATAGAAATTTAATAAGTGCTCCAAGTGGATCTTCAAGCAGGGCACTCTACCCAAGGGGAAAGCTCCAGTCCATCAGTAGTTGTGAAGTAGGGAGCAGAAGGGCAGCAAGTACACAGCTCAGAGATGTGGTTGAGAAAAATCTAAGATCAGGGGGCCAGAAAGACATCGTTCAGCAACTGAAGAGAAAGTGTAGTCCAGGAGTTCAGGTTGCTGACTTGACATTCAGTATGTGGCACTCAATTAATTTGATTCCTTGAGGGAGGTGACTCTACTAAAACTCTCAGTTTGGAAAGAGGTCATGTTTCAAGATTTATTTCTCCTGAAAGAACATAAAAACCACAGACCACCACTGTTTGGTAAACTAGGCAAAGGGAACAACTTCATTCTGCCAACACTCCTAAACTTTATATGACTTCATACATCTTTCGCTCTCAGAAGCAGGGGGGTAAATATAGAGGAGGTTTGGGCCGGAGATTTAGCTCAGTGGTGCTGCTGCCTGCCTCGAAAGCGCAAGGGCCCAAGTTTGATCCCCAGTACAAAAAAAAAAAAAGATGTTAGCTGCCACACCCTTTGTGGGGACAGGTAGGTAAATGAGGGATTAAAGGGGATTATATGCTGGACCAGGTTTGTTATCCATCAGGGGAGACCTTGGAGGATCTAAAGGTTTCCAAAGATGACAATACTGACCTGAGGAGTGACAGGAATTATAACCCTCTGCCACTCAAAAGCTTTCTTTCCCTTTGCCATATTATGCAATATGAAATGATCAAATCTAAATACCATTGTCTCGGTCAGCAGGATTCCAGTCAAAATCATCTTCTCTGTCTTGTTTCCAGTCACAGACTCCACGATCAAAGCTGCAGTCAGCTGAGATATTTAAACCTGCTTTAAAAAGAACACACTTCATAACCAGTAAGAGCATTAGAAAGATAGATACCATTTGGTGTTTTGGAAGGAAATGTCACATTTTTAGTGACGTAGAGTATAGATCAGTGGTGGCGAACCTACGGCATACCTACCACAGAGACTGTTTGTATCATTGAAAGCTCTAAAAGGTTCGCCATCACTGGTAGAGATCAAAGCAAGTGAAATGCCCTTAGGTATAATGTCAAACCAGATACCTTGCTTTGAGTTAAATCTTTGAGCCTACTCTCAATAAATTCTGCTTTAATCTTATAAAACAAAAAAATCTATGATTTCTTAAAAAACTGAGTAATGGGAAAGACTTCCCTCAGCAAAGCAAAACAAGGAATATAACCAATTGGTCATAAAATTTATCCCAGAAAATAAATTCTCCTTTACACAAATAAAGAAGTGAAGACCTCGCCAGAACTTTCTAGATAATTTGTAGAATAGGATGTTTCATGTAGTACATGACACATGACTTATCAACATTCTTGTAGTACATCATGTTTTTTTGTTTCCTGGACTGTATGATGTTTTGACTCTCAGAGAGCCTTACAGACCTGGAGACAGACTCCCAGTCCAGGGTGAGCTAATTCTTACGATCACAGACAATTGAGTTGAGACCATGTCTTCTCAAAAGGCAACTGCGGCCTTTATCTAATTTGCATACACTGTTATGGTTTGGATCTGAAATGGCCCCCAAAGGCCACATGCTACAGGTTTGTTCACCAGCCCGGTACACTATTGGGAGGTGGGGCCTAGTGGAAAGAAGTGAGTCACTGTGCCTTTGAAGGGAATATTGGGACACTGGCTCCTGCTCTCTCTTTCTGCTTCCTGACCACCATAAAGTAAACAGCTTTGTTCTACCACCCACTCTCCACTCTGATGTTCTGCCTTACCACAGGCCCAGAGTGATGAGGCCAAGTAATCATGGACTGAAACCTCTGAAATCATGAACAAAATAAACCTTTCCTCCATACAAGTTGATTACCTCAGGTATTTTGTCACAGTGACAGAAAACTGACTCACACACACACACACACACATATACACACACAGAGCCAATCTTTCCTTTGCCCTAAATCAACCCTGTGCTAGGTACCAGGCAGTTAGGGACAGCCCCTTTTCCCCAAGGCCTTCTGCAGTTATTCAGACTGGCCAACCCTAAGCTATTTCTCCTGCTCTATGTTGCCTTTCTTCCCACAGAAACCCCAGGAAAGGCCATGGCCTAGGCTTTCCCCTCCCTGATGCTTCTTCCTCTGTGGCTCTGTGTGCCATGCTGCACACCCTTCTCTTGGGAAATGTAAGTAAGAAATCCTTTCAATGCCATTGGCCTCTCCATGTCACTTAGTCACTTCCATCAATTAAAACCCCATGGGTACAAATGACATACTAAGTGGCAAAACTTTCCTTTCTTTGCTTCAGAATTCCAACATTCCAGTTAGAAATTTGCCACTGACATGTTGGATCAAATAAGCTAACACACTGTCAGTCTCTAAATTGCTTCTGGGTTCTTTATGGTAGAACAATTGCCTTGTTTAGACGTAGTAGAGAAATATCATTGCATTTATCACAGTAGCTTTGTAGTATAACTTCAAGTTGGGTATTGTGATACCCCCAGCCATGTCTCTGTTGCCCAGAATTGCTTTTGCTATTCTAGGTCTCTTCTGGTTCCAAATGAATTTTTGGATTGTTTTCTCTAGCTATTTCTCTGCTGGGTATTTTCCCAAAAGAATTAAAAGAATCATACCACAGAGATATATGTGTACCCATGTTTATTGTGACAGAGTTTGTAATAGCTAAAGCTTGCAAACAGCCCAAGTGCCCATCAACTGGAAACTGGATAAAGAAGATGTGGTTTTTTTTATAAAATGGAATACTACTCAGCCATAAAGAACGAGAAACTAGAGTCATTTATAGCTAACTGGATGCATATTGAGGCGATACTCTTAAGTGAAATAAATAAGACACACTTGTGTAAATACCGAATAGTTTCTCTAGTGTGAGAAACTGAGAGTGTAAATAAGGACTAAAAGGATTAATAACTAATAATTGATACTTTGAAATAGGAAAAGGTCCAAAGGGGCAGGGTTGGTGGGAGGGGAAGGGGAAAGGAAAGAATGGAAAGGAAAAATTATGAGAAAAGAAAAAAAAAATGGAAATGAAGTATGTAAATAGGGAAGGGTTTAGGGGTGAAGGGCGCACAGGTAATGGGGAGAAATGAGAACCAAGATACATCATGTACAGGTACAAGCACCCAAAGATAAATGTAAATGTATTGTATACCTAAAATGTACCAACAAAAGAATTTAAGAAAAAAAAAAGAAATATCATCGCAGAGTCAGCTAGTGTAAGTTTGAGGCCAGCACTTCTGGTTACTTTTATGTAGCTCAGAGGTCAACATACTGACAACCTGGCCTACTGCCCGTTTTGCAGTTTTATTGAGGCATACCTGCTCATTCATCTCCATATTGTCTATGGCTGTCTTTGCGCTGTAAGGACAGAGCTGAGTAGGTGCTACTGACACCATGGGGCTCGTAGAGCCTAAAACATTTACTACCTGGCCCTTTCTAGAGAAATGTTCACTAACTCCTGACATAGATAACACAAAATAACACTGTGAAAGGGAGCTGATTGAGATATTTCTTATTAAAAGTGAATTTTGTGGCTCTTAGCTATTTATGCTGAGGAATAAAGGAAGGGGAAAAATTCAAAAGCAGCTGATTTTTGACTCATTTTAACTTGCCAAATATTTTCAGAAACATTGTTATTTGATTTGATTTTTCCCAAAAAAGTTGATCATCAAACCCAATTTTAGGAAAGTAAAACTGAGGCTCAGAAGTGATTTGTCCAAGTTCCACAGACTCGGAGTGCTGGGACTGAACGTGAACCTCAAGTTAGACTGGAATCTAGGGCTGTCCATTTGTCACATACCCTAACTCAGCACAAACACACTGCCCCTTTTCTCACTTTTCTTTCTCCTTCACTCTCCATTTTCCCCTATGTCACCAAAGGTAATTTTAGTTCCAATTTTCAGATGAAAAAAATGGCAAGCAAATACTTGTTTCTGGTCTTCAATATTCCTTAGAAGTGCTTTTATAGTTTGAGAAATTGACATTGCCATCCCACAAACAATGGAACATCAATTTTTCAGTTGGTTTATGTGGTGGCACATTTATCCCAAACTCCCTCCTCCTCAACACACGATTAATGGGGCATGTAAAGTGAGATAATGGAATCATACATAGCCAACCTTTGGGCTCATGAGCAGACTAGTTCATTAGCATAGCACTTAAAGGTATGCAAAGGGCTTTCAAATCCATTCTCCGATTTAATCCATGCTAGCCTTGAAGCAGATGCTGTTGGTGCCACATCAGCATCTATCAGTACTTATGTTCCCTTGCAGGCACGTAGCTTTCTTGTGCAATTACAGCTATGTGTGTGAAGGTCTTCTCTGGCTGGAGGATTCTTGGCCCAAGCCAGGTTTGCTAGAATGCTGGTGATTTCTTTCCCTGGGGACAGCCCTCAATCAGAGATGGATAGGAAATGGTAGGAAACTTCCATTTCCTTGCCTTTAAGTGGGACCTGTAAGTGTTGGGATTGGATGTGAATTCAAGTCAGACTGGAGTCGAGGAGCTCTCCTGCCTTGCAGAAGGGCCAAGTGGGATGCAGGTCCAGTTACCATAGCAGTGCCCTTCCCTGCTTTCACAGGAGGCCATGTGTGCCAGGGAATTTGCAGCATTCTTCAGAGCAGCCTTCAGTCAAGCTCGGATGGGAGTTGACGCATGTCCTCTAGGTCCCTTACACCTCCTCTAGGATCATTCTGTGCCTTGTGGTCTACACTGGCTCGCAGACTTCCCCAGTTCTCCACAGTGGAAACGTGCCTGATAACACACCCCTTGCTGCCTCCTTCTCTCCCATCTCACTTCCTTGTGCCCACTCACTGTTTCCTGAGTCACTGCCCCCATAAACCACTTGCACCCGAATTCTTGTCTTGGGGTCTGTTTCCGAGAAAACCAGCCTAATACAGTACCTAAGAGAGGAGTGTTGTTCATGTGCGGAAGCAATAGAGTAAGCAAGTCTCAGTGACTAGCTCAAGGCAAAAAGCAAGCAGGAGAATTAAAGTGCACACTTGAGTCTTCTGATTAGGACTGCGCCCTTCAGGACACCTTTCTCAAGGACTGTTGAGATCACAGGGCTGTGGTTATGGGCAACATTTGCAACTTCCTGTGTTTCATTAAGAATCATGGAAGAAAAAGTAAAGCGAAAAACAGTCAGTTTGGGGATTCAAAAAGGGCCCAAATAGTTCTTTATGGACGCTTAGTGAGTGTGAAGCACTATCCACACAGAGAGTCTGCCTCAGCTCTTTATTCTTGGCATCAGGTGGGAGCAGCAGAGAGAAGAAAACAGCCATACAGCTTTGTAATTACTGGTACTAATTATGCTAAGGCCGGCTGTTTTAATTTGGATACCATGTGTCATGATGTAATGACTTTTCCCTTGGGTTTTTATGAATGAAGCAGTGATTAAAAAACAATCACCTCATCCTATGAAGAAATGAAAATGACATGGGACAGTGTGAGAAAGCTTCATTTACCTTTGTATTCCAGTTTGGAATTCAGCACTTTTCTTTGGACCAGATCCAGACCCAAATCACCTGCTTCGTTCACCTTAGAGGCTGATAAAGAACAATTGATCAGTTAAGAAAAATTTAGAACCCCACATCCTCAGAAGGTATGAATCCAATGACTGAACAAAGAAAGCTTCATCATGGATTGTATCTCTCCTTTTTTTTTTTTTTTTTGGTACCAGGGATGGAACTTGGGACCTTGCGCTTGCAAGGCAGGCGGTGGCACCACTGAGCTATATCCCCAGCATCATGGATTATAATCACAGAGAGTAGTCTAGCAGTGTCTCCCTGCCATTTCCAAATCATTAACATTGGTCCCAGCATCTCAATTTAGAACATCTTTTTCCAGGGGTTTTCCTAGTGAGCCAACTATCTACACTCCTGGCATATCCCTTCTCACCAGTTTTTGGAGATCTACTTCCTGGGGACTGTCACTGTAAAGGGAGCTAATGTCACTGGGGATGGTATCTCTTAGATAGGTGGGCCTGTGTCTGCTTCTCCTTTGGTTTATCCAACTGGTATTTGTATGTTTGGTCACCAGTCACAGAGCCAAGAACAGACCAGGCAAAATATGAGAGGGAGCAGTGAATGCCCAGTAAGAAGGAAATGGAAAATCTCACTGTTGGGATCCAGGCTGAGTCAACATGGAAACTGTCCTGGAGGGGCTAAGACTTAAGGCAGGTTCTGCACAGCAACAGATGAAAAGCGGGATTTGGTGCTTATCTAGTTCATGGAGAAAACTTAAGCTCTGCTGGAGCATTTTTCCCTGTCCGGTTTTCTTTTTTGGCTTTTAAAGGCATAACCGCACAACTGTGAAGTTGCCTTTTCATAGCGCGAGCCTGCGACAAGTGACTTTGAGAAGCGAAAAGGTGGAGCCTGGCTGATCTGCACAGTGAGGGTCTCTCTGATTTGGTGGCGTCCAGCAGCCAGACAACTGTGCTTTCAGGACCAACAAGCTCCCCATGCCCCAAACATGAACCCCCCTCCTACGGGAGTAGGACTTACCCTGCTTGTTTCCCAGAGCAGCAGACTGGGTTTGGTATCTGCAGAAGTTATTCATCTCTAGACTTCACACAGAAGCCTGCTTCTTAGGACTTAAGGCCCAACCTGTTTTACTTAAAGTGTGAAACTCCTTGATCTTCTTCTTGTATTTTTCAGGAGGAATCACAATTCATTCTTCATGAAATGCATTAAATAACAAACGTGATACTCACAAAACACATCTCCTCGGAGGCTTCGTTCCTGTTCCACAAGGTTCTTCAGGGCTTTCTCTTCTCTTTTCCCTTCCTCAAGCTCCTCTTTGATTTTTCCTTCATTTTCTTTTTTTTCTCCAGGAGAGTTCCCACCCCTGGAAAGACTCTCTTGATAGCTGATAGGCTTTGAGGTAACTTTAGGGGCACGAGTCCCAGTGGGACCTGGGGTGATGCTTTCCATTTTTATCTTCTTTTTCATGCTGTTTTTGTGAGCAAGCAACTTCTTGATCCTGTCTTTGATGGTCCCAGGTGCTCTGAGGACTTCCCTCACAGAATTTTCAGGAATAACTAAAACAAAAAATAAAAAATTGAGAAGTACCACTCTTAGTAGCTGATAATCAGGTCACTGGTAAACCATGAAACGCATTAGAAGTGCTGTAAGTTCGTGTTTCCAGAATCAAGCCATATGAGGCTCTGGCATGTGAGATTTTAGGAGAAACTATATTTGCATCTGTTTTGAGCAGTTCCAATGTTATGGCAGTTACCTCCACTACCTTTTGCTTAAGGACACACTTCATTTTGCTTCAGAAACTAGTGAAATACCTGCTATTACCCAATTGGGCCACAGATCTCAAAGGAATTGATTTTTCCAGGATCGTCTAATATTTCTGTTTTCAGAAACTCCCCAATCCTGGTATTATCCAAGGAGCCCTAGAGTTTTGTTCAAATTTGATATTCAAAGAATACAGCTAGACAGCATTAGGTTGAGCCATATAAATTGCCAGTAATGTGCCATTTGTGACCTCCAAGGAGGGTGATTTCTGGTTCACTGTACACAAACCTAATTCCCTTTCTTCCCTCTCTCTCCCTTTTAAATGCCTAAAACTAAATCAACCACTGGATTTCAACCTGCCAAAGATTAAGACTAGACCCCTATCTTTCACCATGCACTAAACTAAAATCAAAGTGTATTAAAGATCTAAATATTAAAACAGAAACACTAAACTTACTGGAAGGTAAGTTAGGTAGAACTTTCAAAAATATTGGCATAGGAAAAGACTTTATGAACAAATCCTCAGTAGCATGGGAACTAGCACAAAGAATCAACAACGGGGATCTCATCTTATTAAAAAGCCTCTGCATGGCCGGGGATTTAGCTCAGTGGTTCCGCCGCCTGCCTCCCAATGCCAAGGTCCTGAGTTCGATCCCCAGTACTGGAAAAAAAAAAGCTTCTGCACTGCAAGAGAAACCACCAACAGAGCCAAGAAACAACCTACAATGTGGGAAAAAAATTTTACCAGCTGTACCTCAGACAGAGGACTACTATCTATAATGTATAAAGAACTGAAAAAAATCAGACTCCCCCAAATTCAAAGACTCAACTCAAAAATGGGCATCTGAAATGAACAGACATTTCTCAGACAAAGAAGTAAAAGCAGTAAATAAACATATGAGAAAATGTTCAACATCACTGGTTATTCCAGAGACGCAGATGAAAACAACACTGAGATTCCACCTCACCCCAGAAAGAATGGCTACTATCAAGAAATCAACAAATAACAAATGCTGGCGGGGTTGTGGGGAGAAAGGAACCCTTCTCCATTGTTGGTAGGAGTGCAGACTGGTGCAACCACTGTGGAAATCACTATGGAGATTCCTCAAAGAACTGGGGCTAGAGGTCCCATTTGACCCAGCTATCCCTCTGCTGGGTATCTTCCCAAAAGAATTAAAAGAATCATACCACAGTGATAGATGCACACCCATGTTTATAGCAGCACAGTTTGTAATAGCTAAAGCTTGGAAACAGCCCAAATGCCCATCAACTGGAAAATTGGATAAAGAAGATGTGGTTTTTCTATGAAATGGAGTACTACTCAGCCATAAAGAATGAGAAACTAGAGACATTTATAGCTAAATGGATGCATACTGAGGTCATACTCTTAAGTGAAATAAATAGGACACACACATGTGTAAATACCGAATAGTTTCTCTGGTGTGAAATACTAAAAGTATAAATAAGGTTCAAATGTTATAATTGATAACGTGAAATAGGAAAAGAAGGTCTAAAGGTGTTGGGGAAGTGGGAGGGGTAGGGGAAAGGAAAGAAGGGAAAAGAAATATATATGAGAAAAGAAAAAAATTGAAACAAAGTCTCTGTAAATAAGGAAGGGTGGAGGGGGTGAAGGGAGGGCAGGGAAATGGGGAAAAAACAAGAACTAAGATACATTATGTAAATGTTCAAGATCCCAATGATGAATGTAATTGCATTTTATATCTAAAATGTACCAATAAACTTAATGAAAAGAAGAAAAACTCAATCAACCACTATCTAAACCTAAGTGATTTTATTGATTGAACTCTTTTTTACAGAGGCTTCTATATTTACGGTTTTATGTCCATTTCCTATTTGTGGCCATGAAATTAAGTTGCTTTTAAAAACACATATCTAGATTGATTCTTCCTATCCTGCAGTGACTCTGGGGTGAGGGACTGTTAGTGTAGAAGAACTCAAGAGGTAGAAAAAGGTCATTTGCCTCACGACTCTTGCTTCGTAGACGGGGCAACTAAGTCATGGTAAGGGACTCGCGCAAGATCACTCTGCAGCTGGGGTAGGGCGTGGATTGAAAGTAAAGCATATGAATCATTCTTTTCCTGATTCTGGTTTATTCTTGCTTTAAGGATTACTTTTCTCTAGACTGGTTCAAGTTCCTCAAAATCTATGATCCAAAGATACATGTCCTTTCTCCAGGAATAAACATGTTAACTAAGAATCTCTAATTGATACGGAAAAGTGACTAACTTAAAAAAATTTAAAAACACAGATCTTTAAAATCGAATATATTATCCTATTATAAAATATCTAGGCATGAGGTAGTCTAACACTAAGCAGAAGGTTTGTAAACACCTGAGCCAATGCACTTATAGTTTAGACTTCAGAGGGAATTGAGAGAAGGCAGTAGACATCATTTTTGATGCTTAGTGTAATACTCTAAAAATTGGTTTGGGATTTTATTAGGATATTTTTCTTGGCAATGTTTTAATCTCTTCTGCTTCATTCCTTCTTCATCGTTTGCCTAATTCAATCTGTACCAAAGTAGTAGAAAAATAAACAAGGAGATGTTCACAACATTTTGGATAAGCCAAAGAGGGAAAGAAAATGCTTTGAAAATATGTATGCTGTTAATTAGTGCATTATTCTGATGTCCATCTAAGGGTCGGTAGGACAAAAGTGTAACATTTCTGTTTTCAATGAAATGTCCCTGTTATTTATCATTGTGATAACCTGTACTTACAGGTACGAAATCAACTGGTGCTGGCAGAAGTAATGCATCATTACCATGTTTCTGACATTCACGTGGCTGCGTTCATTCCTTTGCCACAGGTTGTGTGTGCAGCTTTGATGAAAATGCATTGACCACACATCGCCCTTCCTCTGGAGGCCCCACCGTGTAATTCTGTCTACGCTCCTCGGAATCTTTTCCCACTACCCACATGAAAAATTAACAGGAAACAGCCATTCCCTGCAAATTTCCTTTGTTCAATCAATAACATAAAACTAAGGACCTTTAATAAATAATGAGGACAGGGTTTCAGCCCACACTAGGCAATCCTAAACATCTGCTTTCGCTTTTTTACTTTGAAATTTCAAATTTTCCTGTTGAAAAGAAAAAAATCATCAAAACATCATAGCCTTTGTATCAACAATTTCATTCCCTTCATATGCAAAGAGAAAGCTGAACAAAGATAAAACTGCAATCTAAAGATGTGCATAGCTGGATTCGGTTTTACCTGGGTATCAGTGTTTCAAATTTGATATCACTGATGACTGTTTTCTCGTAAAAATTCTTAATTATTGTGTCATCTTTTTGAGAATATGAAAATGTGGGTGGAAGTTGCAGCAGGAGGGTCTTTGTTGTGTTTGAGAACTCAGACACACAAACAGGGAATTCCAAAGTCTTCAGGTCATAAGCCAGTCTTGTAGCTGAAGCTGACAATATCTTTTGGAAGGGATTAGAGATTTTTGTAAGTGTCCACTCTGTCTACAACATCTACTTATCTGAAAATCTTGATTTTAATTTCATATCTTTGGGATAAGATTTTAGTAATGGGAAAAAAAGACTTTAGTAATGGAGATCACCATAACTTTGACATTCATTCACCTGTGCTTAGTCCACCAGATGAAGCCCTATCGCCCGCCAGGAGAAACGTCCCACCAGTCTGCGCTGTGGCCACAGTTCTGGGAGAACAGGCTTAACTACAGGGAGGATCCACTGACTGCACCGTGGGACCCAGGAAATAGGAAGGGGCTGGGATGGAAGGAAAGCTGAGCCAGGAGAGTTTGTCATGCAGGGGACCAGGAGGAGCTTTCTCCATCACAGGGTATGAACACACCTCTCGTGTGCTTGAGCATTGAGCCCCGGATCTGACTCCTCATTCCCATCTTTTAGCCATATGCCCTCAAGCTAGTCCCTAACTTCTCTTAGCCTTGGTCTCGCCATCTACAAAAGTGGAATAAGAATTGTGAGGTTCAGTAACTGAATACACATCAGTTACTAAGATCAGTGCTTCCAACATACTCACTATGGGTCTGCTATTATTTTGACAGGTCATCACCAGAATATTTAAAACCTTTTACTGAGTTAAAAGTAAAATTCCCAGGCCCTACCTGTAAATTACTAATGGAGACTCATTAAATTGAGATGGCCTGGCTGTACCCAAACCCATCTTCTTTGCTTTTATTTGGTACCAGGGATCGAGCTTGGGACCTTGTGCTTGGGAGGCAGGCACTGGAACCACTGAGCTAAATCCCCGGCCCTAAACCCATCTTCTTAAATAAGCTCTATATAAATTGAATGAAGCCATAAGCACATTTTTAATGACAAAGTTTTTTTTTTGATGGGAACAATTGTTGGATTTTAGTAAAAAAAAAAAGCAAGCCTTTGTCATTATCACTCCTAACACTAGTGCATGCTGATGAAGCATTTAATATATTATGGGCTGGGGTTAAGCCCTTTAGAGGAACATTTGTTCATTCTGTACGGATCATTTCATTTAATCATCAAAAAATATGAATGGCTACATATGATCATCCTTATTTTGCACACCAAACAAATGAGGCACTGAAAGGATAAATAATTATTCTCAGTCCAGAGGCAGGGAGCCAGGGATCTGGGAGTCAAACTAAGGTAATCTGATCCCAAAAGCTGCACTCCTCAAAGACATAGTTTCCCTTTCTACATCGACTGTTACTCCCCTAGTTGGATTTTATCTACGTTTTTAATTTCTTCGAATAAAGTATAGCTCCTGTCAAATCAAGACCAAAATATCTAGTTGTGTATTATTAAGCT